ATGTTTAATTTCATAGTTTCTTGGGGAGTGGTGGATAAAATAGAGATGAGAAGATACCTACTGAAAATGTCACATGAATCACACTAGGGGAAATTTAGGATTTTTAAAAATATTTCATTAGCCAATAACCCATATTTTAATAGTATATAAGTTATAAGTTCTTAAATTTATAAGATTTTATGCTGTACTAATTGGTATATCATAAACAAAAAGTAGTTTAATAAAATTTTGAATGTAAGGCACTAAAACCTTGTGTCATGCACGGTAAAGGACACCCAGGGCGAGAGGATTAATCTAATGTTGTAGCTAATCATCTACAAGTTAAAACCTAAGTAAGAAATTTCTATAAGGTTGTTTTTAAATTATTTAATATGGAGAGTACTTAAGTAAAATATTGATTTGAATTTACTTGAGTCCTTTCCTAACTGGAGCTTTTCTGAAGATATGTGTAAATGATGTGATGATTGGCAAAATCCACTTAAGTTAATTTCATAGTTATTATTTAGTTTGATCTTACTTCTTCTGTAAATTTCTGTTAAACAAGTGAATTCATGGGAAGATTAGCACATGATGTTTATTTAACATGTATTATGTAACCAGATTGTTAAATTGAGTTTAGATTACTCATATCTGGGCTGAATATTTTTGTTGATATTTATCTGAAATTAATGGTCTAGGAATAAAATTGGAGTAAATACAGTTTCCTTCAAACATAGGTAGTTTAAAATATATTTTTTCAGGTCTTAATGTTTTTATTCTATTATTTTCTGCTCTTTTTTTCAGCTTTATATGCTATTTAAAATATAAAAGTATTACGTTAAAATTGGAGTTCAATATTTTGTTTCTTTTAATCTTTATTTTTGTACAAATCATAAAATACATTATTTTCAATATCTTTCATTTTATCAAACATCAAGGAAATTCTATGTTCAGGAATTTTAAGTTTCACTTCTGTGTCTAGTAATAATAATAAAAAGTAATTGAATTTTTGTTAAAATTGAGAGAAATATGTGTAAGTTTTTTACATTAATGAAATATTTATTATTTAAGAAAACATTGAAACATCAATATTCTTCATCCAAATATGAAGCAAACACCAAAAAATTTGAATCCACTGATGGAACAGTGGTAAGTCTATGGATTTGCAATGCTAAAATTCAGGGTTCAATCCCCCTTGGTGGACACAACAGGCTTTGTTATAAAACAAACAAAACAAAAAATTTGAATTTTTATTTAGTCTTACCTCTAATGGATACTTCTGTTAGATTAATTTGGATATATTTTAATTGTATTTTTAATAGGTGTTTCTGTTAGTCAGATGATTAATTTGGATATGATTTAATTCTACTTTTAAGAGATATTTCTGGCAATCAAATAATTGACTTAGTTTAACTATATTTGATAGGTATTTTTGTTAATCATATGATTAATTTGGATTTACTTTACTTTCTGTAATTTTTTTACTACACAGATGGAGAGATAATTTGAATTTAGTTTAACTCTACTTTTAATAGGTATTTGTGTTAGAGGATTAATTTAGGTTTAGGTTATTTTTACCACTAATAAATATTTGTGTTAATCAGAGGGTTGATGAGTTTTAATGTTTATGTGTTTGATAGCTTGAAGATGTTAAATAATTTTTAAATGTATTTAATCATCAGGATCACCACAAAATTTAAGCTTGCAATCACATACAATAGACACCTTTTTATTTCATACAACTAAATTTCTGGCTAGAAAAGATAAACCACAAATAGAAAAAACAACAACATAATACTTAGTTTCAAAACAAATGTTCTCCATGAGGTTATAAAGAAGGTGTTCATTGTAGAGCGACAATTAGAGCTACACCTGTTTAGAGACATGTTAATATTTAATGTTACTTACAACATTTGTTTTTCATTTACATGGTATATCACTGACAAAGGTGCCAAGATTATTTTAAATAAAAACTTAATTAGAAATATTGTGCAGTTGTAATTTAGTAAAATTTTTCACTTTTTTAATAAAAAAAAATCATATGTCATCATTAATGTTTAAGTTCATTATTTTTGTTTTCATTTTCTGATATTTAGTATTGTGTATATAAATATCTCATAATTAAAGCTTTCTCATTGATTTACTGGAAATAAGTGTGACTAAAACATTATCCATTTAATTTACGTACTCTAATTCTGACTAATGTATTTCAGTGGGATGAAAGCAAGAAAAACCCAATTGTTGAAAAGACTTTAGGGACACTGAATAGCTTTCTGAACACATTGTGGCCAGGTGAGTTATACTTCCCTTTTTGCTTATTAGTCATGATAGTACAAGTCATTTGGTGAGTATCTTGATGCTAGATTATTCATTATAAAGAAATTTTGATACTGAGCACAAGTTGTAGTGTGTGTTTTCAAATGAAGGAGTAAATAATCCATTCTTTGTTTTGTAAATGAGACTTTTTTTTTAATCTTAGGAGAAGGAAGTGTTCGGCAACTACCTCCTAATATTCTGTCCATTGATGAAGGAAGTAGAGCATGTTTTCCTTTAGGACTTGGCCATGCTGCTCATTATGTGGCTCCAAGAGTTGCCTTGGTTGGGTAAGCTTCTGTTTTGTTAATGTGTTTTCCTGAAAGCTCCATGAACCTAAGTGAAATACATAAAAATATAATTTTTGTACTAATCATCAAACTGCAACCATCCGCACTTGTACAAAAATAACTAACCATATTCAGGTTAACACCTAATTAAGATTATGGTCTGAAGACAATTTATAAAACAAAATACTCTTTCAAGTGTGAAAACAGTGTTCAGTCTTCAATTATAAAAAAAGAAGTGAAAAATAATTTTTTATAACTATGTACATGTACATTCTTGTTAAATTAATTTGGACTGGTTTCATAGCATAGGAATTATTTTGCAGAATGAAGTTGTCCTTTTATACCAGAAGGAGTTTTGATATGTGTAGTAACTTTGTAGTTTCACGTATAAAACACACAAACGCATACACATAGAGAGAGCTATATGAGTTATGTCAATTTAGGCACACTATTGTATTCAATCTAATAGCACCTCTAATATTAAAATATTACTATCCATAATGCTGAAATCTTAAAATATAGAATCATACGTTTTTTGTTGTTTTTTTATTGAAACCTATTTTTAATTTCTTTTTATGAAATAATAACAGACTAGAATCTATTTACAAAACTATTTTATTTAATTATTTCCATATGGGCAAGGTCATTTTATTTGACCTTGTAGCCGTCAGGTAACCATGAAAGTATTCATTCTATAACTTTTAATGTGGTATGTGTATATTTATGAAATCTGGCAAGCTTTTAATAAACATTTGTACACAAAAAAATCTTATTTTAAATTTAAGTATTTTTACTAAAGATTTGTCCTTGAAATTATAGAGTCAGAGTGCTGACTAGTCTGAGTGAAAAGTTATTTACATATTAAGATTAAAAATACTTTTATTCTTCTTACAGTTTTCAAATTTATTTGCATTACCTCTAAAACTTCCTAAATGAATATCAAACACTGTTTTTCAGTGAAACTGTTTTACCTTTTTATTTTTCTCTACCCTAACTGTATATGAAGTCAGTTGATTTAACTGACCTTGTAATCACCACACACATAAAAATTATAAATCAAAATTATTGTTTTTTCTTTCTAGAATCACAATAGATTATAACAGAAAACAACAATTGTTTATCTTGAATAGCTTAAAGCTCATAACAGTCTTCATCTATTTCTACTTAATTTTACTGTTTTATTGCCCTTTGAACCTGTCTGACTAATAACCTGGTGATACAAGCAGTAAATCACTTGGCAAATGCAGAGACCATATTACTGTGTTGAATGACATAGCACTAAAGCTACTTGGAGCATACCTTGTGGAGAAAGTTTCAAATATTTATATTTTAGCTACTTTTATAACTTTAAATAAAAAAATATATATAAAAACAAGAAATTTAGTACTTATGTCTGCACATGTTCTTTTTGTTTATTTTTTGTAGTAATGGTACCAGTACACTAAATATTTTTTTAAATTTTAAGTGTACATTTAAGATTACAAAATAATAGCAAGCACAAATCAAACAATGTCCTATAACTCTTATAATTTAAATGGCTTTTTAAGTAAGGCTTAAGTGCCTTAGCTGCTCTTTCTGAATTTGGGGGGTAGCAACTTTCAATCTGTAGGTAAAACAAGAAATATTGGCAATTTGTGAAAAAGATGATGTGACAGGTGAGCGTGGCAAGTAGGTCTGACTTTCTAGTTTATTTCTCTATAAACAAAAATTGAAGGCTTTAAAAGTTAGAACTTTACCTTAGTAATATCTGTACTGTAATGAGTAATTTGTTAAATTCAGAATATCAAAATGGGGTGGGGAAAAAATATTGTTTAGGCAAGTCAAAGTGAACAGATGTCATGATACACA